TCGAATTAGACTAATTTTTATGATAACCGATCAGAGAAATCATTACGATTTGTTAGAGTACGATTTCTTTGATGAAGTAAAGCAATGTAAACGGGCAAGTGAATAATCAGTGTTCAAAATTCAACACGTTGCAACGTTGCTAGTCCGATCCAAACAATATTTGTGTATAGTTTTGTCGTAAATCTAATAACGTTTTAAAAAAATGTTAACACTACATACGATAGAGATACTACTGTTTCCGAATAGGGGAATCTGGCGAAACCCCGAATGAAAAATTGGAATAGTTAAATGCAAAATTATATTGCTTCTACCAATTCTTTACATATAGTAAATAAAATTGTCTTGTACTAGTAACTATTTTGCATTAATTTTTTTTTCTCCGAAAATTCTTCCCTAAATTCAGATCTTTATGAATTTGAAAATATAATTTATGTCAAATTTCGAGTATTGTTTCCAAAATTAGTAGTTTTCAGCAGTTTATGTACATAATCTTTTATTATATGACCTGAATACATTAACTATTATTAAAATTAGTGAAACATTAAAATTAGTTGATTTCATTTTGGCTAAACCTCCCGATTACCATGAAGATGATCTTATTAAAATTTTATAAAGATTGGTTCAGTATGCTTTGCGGCCAAACGTTATAAACAAAGAACGGGCTTATCTTGTATATACATATAGACATAATTAATCTATTTTGTCAATTATGTTATTCTATTTGTTCTCCTGTTTCACTTTTTTCTTTCTTCTAGTTTCATTTTGTTGTTTCGGTCAATTTCAACTACAATATAAAATTAAAAATCATCAGCCAACACGTAAAATGGAACTAAATAACTTAAATAAACGGCTTGAATTGTGGCATTCCATTTTATTTCAAATCATTAACACTACAAATCAGAGAGGAGCTCAATACACATGCATCACTACTTCGATTTCTCTGATTATCCTAAAAATCATTTCTGTTTCTCAGATGAAAATAAAAAAAAGTTAGGAAAGTTTAAAGATGAATTAAATTCAAAAATAGTTTTAAAATATGTGGGGTTGAGAGCCAAAATGTACGCCGTCATGATGGAAGATGGTGTAAAGAAGCGTGCTAAGGGTGTAAAAGTGTCATCGTTAAAACAATATATCACTTTTGAAGACTATGAGCAAGTGTTATTAAACAATGAAATTATGCATACACCTATGAGATCGATACAATCAAAGGAGCATAATATTTTTAGTACCGAGATAAATAAAGTTTCCCTTTCTCCGTTTGATGATAAAAGACACATATTAGAAGATGGGGTCAATACATTGGCCTACGGTCATTATGAATTGGCTGAGTTGAACAAATTGAAATAAAAAATAATATTTAAAAATTAAAAAAAATATTAAACAAAAAAGAAAATACAAAAAAAAATAAAACCAATGTGTGTGTGTGTGTGTGTGTGTGTGTGTGTGTGTGTGTGTGTTTGTGATTTGGTCACTGGCATGGTATTGATTTACCTGTAAACCAAAGTATGTGTGATTTGGTCACTGGCATGGTATTGATTTACCTGTAAACCAAAAGTATGTATGATTTGGTCACTGGCATGGTATTGATTTACCTGTAAACCAAAAGTATGTGTGATTTGGTCACTGGCACGGTATTGATTTACCTGTAAACCAAAAGTGTGTGTGTGTGTGTTTGATTTGGTCACTGGCGAGGCTATAAACGCCCGTAAACCACCGGACCCTCTCGATGCATCTTCACCTTGACGTGGTGAGAGGGCTTAAAGCTGTAAGCTGAACTAAGAAAGATGCACATAATTACCTAAATGTACATGGACAGTTCTTCGTAATATTATATTTCTTATACAAATAAAAACCACTTTTTAAAATGAAAATACTCCTTCTCATTATCCGCTTAAAGTTTAATAAATAATATGCTAATTTAATTATTATAAATAATATAAAGTTCAGTAAATAATATGAAGTATTCGCTACTGGTTAGTTTACAGATTATATAGTTATGATAAACATATAATGTTCAAAGGCTACAATTTAAAATAAATGAAACAGAGTTTAAAGGCTAAAATGAACGATACAGTGTTTAAAGGCTCAATAATTTTAAATGAAGAAAACGATCTGTAAAGACTGGAATATTTAAACGTATGTCGTACTGGACGATTTAAAGTGAGCGCAACAGTGTTTAAAGGCTAAAATTACTGAACGATTTAAAGTGAGCGCAACAGTGTTTAAAGGTCACAATTTTTGAGCGATTTATTATGAACGAAACAGTGTTTAAAGGCGAAATTTTTGGCGGGTAATGGGCGCCGCCATCTTGCACCGAGGACCTGTGCCAGGATTGGTATATTCTATCTCTGTGACGTCTTCGAATCTTTCCGAAGTGTTATGATGAAGACCCATAAACTGGATCCAGCTCATTATTTTACCGTCCCCGGCTTAACATGGGACGCCATGTTGAAATATACAAAAATGAACATAGAGCTCTTACAAGATTACGACATGATCTTAATGATAGAACATGGGATTCGAGGAGGTTTGTGTCAGGTATCGCACCGATATGCAGAAGCAAATAATAAATACATGAGTAACTCCAATTCAAACGAAGAATCTAGCTACATAATTTATTTAGATGCGAATAATCTTTATGGGCAATCAATGAGCATGTATTTACCGTATGGAGGATTCCAGTGGGTTAAAAACCCAGAATCAATAAACATCTTCGATCTGGAGGACGAAGATGAAGTCGGATATATTTTTGAAATCGATATTAGCTATCCTAAAGAACTGCATCATAATCATAACGATTTGCCCTTTTTACCTTAATCAATCTTACCACCACAAGCCAAATGTAATTCAAAAAAATTAATAACGCACTTCGGAAAAAGAACCCGCTACGTCCTCCATTATAAAAATTTGATACAAGCCTTAAAACATGGCTTAAAATTAGAAAAAATTCATCGTGCTTTAAAATTTAACCAATCACCATGGCTTCGCTCGTATATAGAATACAACACAGATTTGAGAAAAGGAGCCTGCAACGACTTTGAAAAAGATTTTTATAAGTTACTGAACAATGCAGTTTTTGGTAAGACTATGGAAAACATTAGGAATCATCAAAATATTCAGCTAGTAACTGACAGTAAAAAGTTAATGAAACTGATTACCAAACCAAATTTTATAGACCGAACTATCTACAATGAGAATATAGTAGCTGTACATATGGGAAAACCCAAAGTATTGTTTAACAAACCCATATACATTGGAATGTGCATATTAGATTTATCCAAAACTGTGATGTATCAATTTCATTATGATACAATGTTGCAAAAATATTCCAATAATAACTTAAAGATGATGTATACAGATACAGATTCGCTTATTTATAAAGTTTTAACAGATGATGTCTTTGAAGATATGAAAAAAATGCATCACTACTTCGATTTCTCTGATTATCCTAAAAATCATTTCTGTTTCTCAGATGAAAATAAAAAAAAGTTAGGAAAGTTTAAAGATGAATTAAATTCAAAAATAGTTTTAAAATATGTGGGGTTGAGAGCCAAAATGTACGCCGTCATGATGGAAGATGGTGTAAAGAAGCGTGCTAAGGGTGTAAAAGTGTCATCGTTAAAACAATATATCACTTTTGAAGACTATGAGCAAGTGTTATTAAACAATGAAATTATGCATACACCTATGAGATCGATACAATCAAAGGAGCATAATATTTTTAGTACCGAGATAAATAAAGTTTCCCTTTCTCCGTTTGATGATAAAAGACACATATTAGAAGATGGGGTCAATACATTGGCCTACGGTCATTATGAATTGGCTGAGTTGAACAAATTGAAATAAAAAATAATATTTAAAAATTAAAAAAAATATTAAACAAAAAAGAAAATACAAAAAAAAATAAAACCAATGTGTGTGTGTGTGTGTGTGTGTGTGTGTGTGTGTGTGTGTTTGTGATTTGGTCACTGGCATGGTATTGATTTACCTGTAAACCAAAAGTATGTGTGATTTGGTCACTGGCATGGTATTGATTTACCTGTAAACCAAAAGTATGTATGATTTGGTCACTGGCATGGTATTGATTTACCTGTAAACCAAAAGTATGTGTGATTTGGTCACTGGCACGGTATTGATTTACCTGTAAACCAAAAGTGTGTGTGTGTGTGTTTGATTTGGTCACTGGCGAGGCTATAAACGCCCGTAAACCACCGGACCCTCTCGATGCATCTTCACCTTGACGTGGTGAGAGGGCTTAAAGCTGTAAGCTGAACTAAGAAAGATGCACATAATTACCTAAATGTACATGGACAGTTCTTCGTAATATTATATTTCTTATACAAATAAAAACCACTTTTTAAAATGAAAATACTCCTTCTCATTATCCGCTTAAAGTTTAATAAATAATATGCTAATTTAATTATTATAAATAATATAAAGTTCAGTAAATAATATGAAGTATTCGCTACTGGTTAGTTTACAGATTATATAGTTATGATAAACATATAATGTTCAAAGGCTACAATTTAAAATAAATGAAACAGAGTTTAAAGGCTAAAATGAACGATACAGTGTTTAAAGGCTCAATAATTTTAAATGAAGAAAACGATCTGTAAAGACTGGAATATTTAAACGTATGTCGTACTGGACGATTTAAAGTGAGCGCAACAGTGTTTAAAGGCTAAAATTACTGAACGATTTAAAGTGAGCGCAACAGTGTTTAAAGGTCACAATTTTTGAGCGATTTATTATGAACGAAACAGTGTTTAAAGGCGAAATTTTTGGCGGGTAATGGGCGCCGCCATCTTGCACCGAGGACCTGTGCCAGGATTGGTATATTCTATCTCTGTGACGTCTTCGAATCTTTCCGAAGTGTTATGATGAAGACCCATAAACTGGATCCAGCTCATTATTTTACCGTCCCCGGCTTAACATGGGACGCCATGTTGAAATATACAAAAATGAACATAGAGCTCTTACAAGATTACGACATGATCTTAATGATAGAACATGGGATTCGAGGAGGTTTGTGTCAGGTATCGCACCGATATGCAGAAGCAAATAATAAATACATGAGTAACTCCAATTCAAACGAAGAATCTAGCTACATAATTTATTTAGATGCGAATAATCTTTATGGGCAATCAATGAGCATGTATTTACCGTATGGAGGATTCCAGTGGGTTAAAAACCCAGAATCAATAAACATCTTCGATCTGGAGGACGAAGATGAAGTCGGATATATTTTTGAAATCGATATTAGCTATCCTAAAGAACTGCATCATAATCATAACGATTTGCCCTTTTTACCTGAATCAATCTTACCACCACAAGCCAAATGTAATTCAAAAAAATTAATAACGCACTTCGGAAAAAGAACCCGCTACGTCCTCCATTATAAAAATTTGATACAAGCCTTAAAACATGGCTTAAAATTAGAAAAAATTCATCGTGCTTTAAAATTTAACCAATCACCATGGCTTCGCTCGTATATAGAATACAACACAGATTTGAGAAAAGGAGCCTGCAACGACTTTGAAAAAGATTTTTATAAGTTACTGAACAATGCAGTTTTTGGTAAGACTATGGAAAACATTAGGAATCATCAAAATATTCAGCTAGTAACTGACAGTAAAAAGTTAATGAAACTGATTACCAAACCAAATTTTATAGACCGAACTATCTACAATGAGAATATAGTAGCTGTACATATGGGAAAACCCAAAGTATTGTTTAACAAACCCATATACATTGGAATGTGCATATTAGATTTATCCAAAACTGTGATGTATCAATTTCATTATGATACAATGTTGCAAAAATATTCCAATAATAACTTAAAGATGATGTATACAGATACAGATTCGCTTATTTATAAAGTTTTAACAGATGATGTCTTTGAAGATATGAAAAAAATGCATCACTACTTCGATTTCTCTGATTATCCTAAAAATCATTTCTGTTTCTCAGATGAAAATAAAAAAAAGTTAGGAAAGTTTAAAGATGAATTAAATTCAAAAATAGTTTTAAAATATGTGGGGTTGAGAGCCAAAATGTACGCCGTCATGATGGAAGATGGTGTAAAGAAGCGTGCTAAGGGTGTAAAAGTGTCATCGTTAAAACAATATATCACTTTTGAAGACTATGAGCAAGTGTTATTAAACAATGAAATTATGCATACACCTATGAGATCGATACAATCAAAGGAGCATAATATTTTTAGTACCGAGATAAATAAAGTTTCCCTTTCTCCGTTTGATGATAAAAGACACATATTAGAAGATGGGGTCAATACATTGGCCTACGGTCATTATGAATTGGCTGAGTTGAACAAATTGAAATAAAAAATAATATTTAAAAATTAAAAAAAATATTAAACAAAAAAGAAAATACAAAAAAAAATAAAACCAATGTGTGTGTGTGTGTGTGTGTGTGTGTGTGTGTGTGTGTGTGTGTTTGTGATTTGGTCACTGGCATGGTATTGATTTACCTGTAAACCAAAAGTATGTGTGATTTGGTCACTGGCATGGTATTGATTTACCTGTAAACCAAAAGTATGTATGATTTGGTCACTGGCATGGTATTGATTTACCTGTAAACCAAAAGTATGTGTGATTTGGTCACTGGCACGGTATTGATTTACCTGTAAACCAAAAGTGTGTGTGTGTGTGTTTGATTTGGTCACTGGCGAGGCTATAAACGCCCGTAAACCACCGGACCCTCTCGATGCATCTTCACCTTGACGTGGTGAGAGGGCTTAAAGCTGTAAGCTGAACTAAGAAAGATGCACATAATTACCTAAATGTACATGGACAGTTCTTCGTAATATTATATTTCTTATACAAATAAAAACCACTTTTTAAAATGAAAATACTCCTTCTCATTATCCGCTTAAAGTTTAATAAATAATATGCTAATTTAATTATTATAAATAATATAAAGTTCAGTAAATAATATGAAGTATTCGCTACTGGTTAGTTTACAGATTATATAGTTATGATAAACATATAATGTTCAAAGGCTACAATTTAAAATAAATGAAACAGAGTTTAAAGGCTAAAATGAACGATACAGTGTTTAAAGGCTCAATAATTTTAAATGAAGAAAACGATCTGTAAAGACTGGAATATTTAAACGTATGTCGTACTGGACGATTTAAAGTGAGCGCAACAGTGTTTAAAGGCTAAAATTACTGAACGATTTAAAGTGAGCGCAACAGTGTTTAAAGGTCACAATTTTTGAGCGATTTATTATGAACGAAACAGTGTTTAAAGGCGAAATTTTTGGCGGGTAATGGGCGCCGCCATCTTGCACCGAGGACCTGTGCCAGGATTGGTATATTCTATCTCTGTGACGTCTTCGAATCTTTCCGAAGTGTTATGATGAAGACCCATAAACTGGATCCAGCTCATTATTTTACCGTCCCCGGCTTAACATGGGACGCCATGTTGAAATATACAAAAATGAACATAGAGCTCTTACAAGATTACGACATGATCTTAATGATAGAACATGGGATTCGAGGAGGTTTGTGTCAGGTATCGCACCGATATGCAGAAGCAAATAATAAATACATGAGTAACTCCAATTCAAACGAAGAATCTAGCTACATAATTTATTTAGATGCGAATAATCTTTATGGGCAATCAATGAGCATGTATTTACCGTATGGAGGATTCCAGTGGGTTAAAAACCCAGAATCAATAAACATCTTCGATCTGGAGGACGAAGATGAAGTCGGATATATTTTTGAAATCGATATTAGCTATCCTAAAGAACTGCATCATAATCATAACGATTTGCCCTTTTTACCTGAATCAATCTTACCACCACAAGCCAAATGTAATTCAAAAAAATTAATAACGCACTTCGGAAAAAGAACCCGCTACGTCCTCCATTATAAAAATTTGATACAAGCCTTAAAACATGGCTTAAAATTAGAAAAAATTCATCGTGCTTTAAAATTTAACCAATCACCATGGCTTCGCTCGTATATAGAATACAACACAGATTTGAGAAAAGGAGCCTGCAACGACTTTGAAAAAGATTTTTATAAGTTACTGAACAATGCAGTTTTTGGTAAGACTATGGAAAACATTAGGAATCATCAAAATATTCAGCTAGTAACTGACAGTAAAAAGTTAATGAAACTGATTACCAAACCAAATTTTATAGACCGAACTATCTACAATGAGAATATAGTAGCTGTACATATGGGAAAACCCAAAGTATTGTTTAACAAACCCATATACATTGGAATGTGCATATTAGATTTATCCAAAACTGTGATGTATCAATTTCATTATGATACAATGTTGCAAAAATATTCCAATAATAACTTAAAGATGATGTATACAGATACAGATTCGCTTATTTATAAAGTTTTAACAGATGATGTCTTTGAAGATATGAAAAAAATGCATCACTACTTCGATTTCTCTGATTATCCTAAAAATCATTTCTGTTTCTCAGATGAAAATAAAAAAAAGTTAGGAAAGTTTAAAGATGAATTAAATTCAAAAATAGTTTTAAAATATGTGGGGTTGAGAGCCAAAATGTACGCCGTCATGATGGAAGATGGTGTAAAGAAGCGTGCTAAGGGTGTAAAAGTGTCATCGTTAAAACAATATATCACTTTTGAAGACTATGAGCAAGTGTTATTAAACAATGAAATTATGCATACACCTATGAGATCGATACAATCAAAGGAGCATAATATTTTTAGTACCGAGATAAATAAAGTTTCCCTTTCTCCGTTTGATGATAAAAGACACATATTAGAAGATGGGGTCAATACATTGGCCTACGGTCATTATGAATTGGCTGAGTTGAACAAATTGAAATAAAAAATAATATTTAAAAATTAAAAAAAATATTAAACAAAAAAGAAAATACAAAAAAAAATAAAACCAATGTGTGTGTGTGTGTGTGTGTGTGTGTGTGTGTGTGTGTGTGTGTGTTTGTGATTTGGTCACTGGCATGGTATTGATTTACCTGTAAACCAAAAGTATGTGTGATTTGGTCACTGGCATGGTATTGATTTACCTGTAAACCAAAAGTATGTATGATTTGGTCACTGGCATGGTATTGATTTACCTGTAAACCAAAAGTATGTGTGATTTGGTCACTGGCACGGTATTGATTTACCTGTAAACCAAAAGTGTGTGTGTGTGTGTTTGATTTGGTCACTGGCGAGGCTATAAACGCCCGTAAACCACCGGACCCTCTCGATGCATCTTCACCTTGACGTGGTGAGAGGGCTTAAAGCTGTAAGCTGAACTAAGAAAGATGCACATAATTACCTAAATGTACATGGACAGTTCTTCGTAATATTATATTTCTTATACAAATAAAAACCACTTTTTAAAATGAAAATACTCCTTCTCATTATCCGCTTAAAGTTTAATAAATAATATGCTAATTTAATTATTATAAATAATATAAAGTTCAGTAAATAATATGAAGTATTCGCTACTGGTTAGTTTACAGATTATATAGTTATGATAAACATATAATGTTCAAAGGCTACAATTTAAAATAAATGAAACAGAGTTTAAAGGCTAAAATGAACGATACAGTGTTTAAAGGCTCAATAATTTTAAATGAAGAAAACGATCTGTAAAGACTGGAATATTTAAACGTATGTCGTACTGGACGATTTAAAGTGAGCGCAACAGTGTTTAAAGGCTAAAATTACTGAACGATTTAAAGTGAGCGCAACAGTGTTTAAAGGTCACAATTTTTGAGCGATTTATTATGAACGAAACAGTGTTTAAAGGCGAAATTTTTGGCGGGTAATGGGCGCCGCCATCTTGCACCGAGGACCTGTGCCAGGATTGGTATATTCTATCTACTACTTCTTATTAATTTAAAAATCACACTTTATGATAAAGTGATAAAGTAGTAGATAGAATATACCAATCCTGGCACAGGTCCTCGGTGCAAGATGGCGGCGCCCATTACCCGCCAAAAATTTCGCCTTTAAACACTGTTTCGTTCATAATAAATCGCTCAAAAATTTCGCCTTTAAACACTGTTTCGTTCATAATAAATCGCTCAAAAATTGTGACCTTTAAACACTGTTGCGCTCACTTTAAATCGTTCAATAATTTTAGCCTTTAAACACTGTTTCTTTGAATTTAAATCGTTCAAAATATTCTAGCCTTTAAACTCGGTTTCATTTATTTTAAATTGTAGGCTTTGAACATTATATGTTTATCATAACTATATAATCTGTAAACTAACCAGTAGCGAATACTTCATATTATTTACTGAACTTTATATTAGTAGATAGAATTTAATTTTAAAGTGTGACATTTAATCATTTAATTTTAAAGTAAGACATTTACACACACACACACACACACACACACACACACACACACACACACACACACAAGTTTTGGTTTACAGGTAAATCAATACCGTGCCAGTGACCAAAAACAAAAAAAAATCTACTAGAAAATAACAAACTTCTTAATACAATTAACTCAGAATAAATAACAAATTATTTTTTTGTATTTTCTTTTTGTTTAATATTTTTTTTAATTTTTAAATATTATTTTTATTTTTATTTCAATTTGTTCAACTCAACCAATTCATAATGACCGTAGGCCAATGTATTGACCCCATCTTCTAATATGTGTCTTTTATCATCAAACGGAGAAAGGGAAACTTTATTTATCTCGGTACTAAAAATATTTAAAGTGAGCGCAACAGTGTTTAAAGGTCACAATTTTTGAGCGATTTATTATGAACGAAACAGTGTTTAAAGGCGAAATTTTTGGCGGGTAATGGGCGCCGCCATCTTGCACCGAGGACCTGTGCCAGGATTGGTATATTCTATCTACTGATCGATAATGCATGGGCTTAACCTTATATTAGTGGTAATGAATCTTTATGCCATAGTTGCCATCTCATACAATTTAAAATATCTATTATATATTATTTCTCAGTTTTTGGTTAGTTTTTTTTTCGGTTCACTATATTTTCGTAAATTCTTCATAAAATACAATGATCCAACCATCATTTTGAAGACTATCTTCTCCTTTAGTGAGAAAATAGTCTCATCTCGCAAAATAAAAAAAAAATGTTAAGTTGGAAAAGAAACATAGTTTGCTCGTAACTCAAAAATTATGCAATTTATGGTGTATTACAACCATGATTAAAAAGTTCGTAATTTACTTCAAAACAAAAACGCTGCAAATTATTTCACAATGGTTTATTATTTTCAAACCATTATACATCTAAATTAACATTATCTTGCTAGTGGCAAGCAAAAAGAAATAAAAGGTGATTCCAATTATTGGACTAAACCTTTTTTTAATCATTAGTAATATGCTAAAGAAATTAGCATTACTTCAGTAACACATTCAAAAATCAAAAACCAAAACAAAGGAGATAACCTTTGCAGTAGAACATATAAAAAACATCTAAAGACCATATATTTGCTCCTAATTGTCAGATTTGAACGATTTTTTTTTTTTTTTTTTTTTTTTTAGGAAATTCCATAAACCATTTAATAACCATTTAAAATATCGACAAAAAGGTGTATACTTTTTGAGTTATTCGGAATCTAATTTTACCATCCCTCGTAAAATTTTTTTCTAGCTTCTTTTCATTGAAGTATGTTATATAGATAAATTTAAACAGTATCGAGAAGAAGACTTTAGGGATGTTTCATTGAAATCGCTACATTCGTTTAGCCACTACAGTCCATACATAGCAACGCAGATTTTTCGCTCGCCATCTTGAAAGGAAATGTCGATGAAGGAAGATCATCTTCGGGTGACCTCTAATTTTAAATCCAAATTTGAAAAAAATCGGCTCAGTAATTTCGGAGAAAATGCGCGGACGGCGGAGGCACAAAGAAATTTTTATTCGTTTTTCAAATTCTACATATCCTGAAACGTAAAACCTCAAATTTTGAGAGGGGGTTAAGTTTTGGATTTTTTTGTTCGATCACAATGGTTCATTATTGAAAAAAAATCATCTAAATCGGGCCATTATTAACAAACAGCATGTAATAGACATATTTTTGTTTCTTACTATGAATGAATGAAAAAGAAAATTAATTCCTTGTATATACATTTTGCATTAACTTATATCTATATTATATTGTCATTTATACTATGCAATTATTTCGCACGGGCCAGCTAGTTTTAAATCATTATTATTATTGGGTTCAAAATAATGGAATTATATTAAAATTATATTTTCGCAATATATTATTTAAATATTTTCAGGGAGTCAAAAAAAAAAAATATGAATATAGAAGCAAAATTTATTTGAGCCCATGATGGGGGCAAGCTTCGAAAGTAAATAACATTCAAGAAAATAAAAAAAAGGTTCAACCCTTTCTCAGCCATCAGAAAAAAAAGCAATATCCGAGAGGGTAGAATATATATATATTTTTTGTTGGCTACGTGACGCAACCTCCTCAGCTAAAGCTAAAAAATAAACTAATTGCCTGGCTAATTGTCTCTACAAGGATAAATCGAGAGGAGCCTCTTCTTTATTGTTTCTTTTCTTTTCTTTAACTCCGTGGGGTGGAGGGGAAGGTTGAGAGGGGAGGGGGGGGAGGTTAGGTTTCGTTTAAGCAGGACAAGACAAATTCCTCTCGGTGACAGATCGCTCCTACCCTCTATTACCTATATTGAGGTTTTCTCTACTCCAGGTTTTTTTTTACCATAGCTGTACCCGAGTTCATCACTGTGAAAAACCTGCTAATGGCGTCATTGTAACTAATTAGATGGTAATGGTAAAACTACTTCGAAGACATTATTACTTTAGACGTTTTTAAGAGGACATAAGACGATTCTGTATGTTAGATATAAACTACCGTAACCCTAATTTTGCTTGTTTGACTTTATATATAAAGTATAACTGTTTCGATCGTAAACCACAAGCCGTTACCGGTTTATTATAACTAAGTGGTGAATCTTAAAAAAAAAAAAAAATGAAAACAAATAATATATTGTAATATTATAATTTCATAAAACATACAATTTATTATATAAAAGGGCACTTTGAATGGACCGATTTTAGTAGGCCAATTCTGTGCAAAAACAACGGTGGGTCTATTTTTGTTTTAGCAATTAAATTAAAAATTATGCAATAGCATGTAGAATGGAAATAAAACAGCGATTAATTATATGGTCGTGGGCAGGTATCTTATTGAAACTATATATAATAGATAGATATAAAATAACTTTATTCTGGGACAAAGGCTCTTAAGAATAACAGAATGTTACAGGAAAAAAACAATAACAATTGACCAGAAAAAACTGTTTCATTAAAAAATAGAGAGATAAATATATAATCAGATAAAAAATAGATAAAAAGCTTTACGTAAACAAACTATATATACATACAATCAAACTAATGAGACTATTTATAAAATACTACAGTTATATATAAGACAAATAAGAAATGAAACCAAATAAATGAGGCTTGGCTATATATGTATATATATATATATATATAAAAGTGTATATCATAAGTAATATGTGGTTAGTAATTTTCTGACTTTTGCGAGAATAGAAATTGGAATAGGAGGGTTCTAAAGGTGTAAACGGAGAGAGCATGCCGGATTTTTAAAGGTAATGTATTACCTCATATGTTTTGAATAAATATAATACTCATGCTATATAATAATTAAAATAAACTCTAAGCTAGACCTAACGGCTTAATTGCGTCCAAATGTAAAAAAAAAAATCAGTGGTAAATAAATGGCTTGAAACCGCCGCATCCAGCCAGAAGCCACCAGAACACTCCAGAAGCTTCAAGGTACCAATCGATGTCGTATCTAAAATGTGGTATCTCCATTATCCACAGGTGGATCTAAGGTGCAGAAGGTCTCTCGGGCGGAAGCCCTCTCCCCCAAAATGGTAAAATGTAACCATGTCTTATGAAATAAATATTTCATAAATCTCCAAAAGTGATATTCTTCATATAATTACATTTAATAGGGCTTCAAGAATCACTTAAAACACCGTTTCATATAAGTATTTTGATAGTTTCTTTATTATCTTCAAAAGTAATAATCATTATATATATAACAAAATAGCTTTCGGGCTGAAGCAACCCCCTCCCCAAAAAAAAAAAGAAAAGGAAATTAAATACTGGATGCTCTAGTGCCATTGTTCTATGGGTAAACCATAAAACAAGAACATTCTGTATTCCAAAAGAAAATGGTTGTCACAGGTATATAACATGTCACCAATAAGAACTGATACCTTTCACCTAGTTATCACCTACTTAAAACACCACCCATTCCTTATTGAGATTTCCATTTTGCTTTAATTTTCGCTGTCAACACGTCTGGATTAGCGGTTGGTACAGTTTTGTCTCAGCGAGTATGGAATATAGAACTCTGTTTGAGCCAAATTACACCAGCATAATATAATTTCTCAATTTTAGAAAGGAAACATATTGCTGTTATTGGGGCACTCAGCAGTCTAGATCTTAACCTAAGTATGAGTGAGTGTTTGTCCTTCTTATAAAACAAACTCTATTAAGGTGATCTGTGGAACGCAATTAGCTGTGATAGGTTTACATGCTGGAAACTTAAATAAGCGGAACATGACAATATGCAGGGCCACAAGAACGCTGACGACCTTAGTAGAGCAGCATGGAGCATTGGGATCGAAATAAATGAAACCCGTCACTGAGATATGTTTTTGCTGGAACAAGAAGCCGATCCAGAATGACAACAACGGATTTAAAACAACGGTGAGGAAGGGCTGATTATTTCAAATACGATTAAAATAAGTCAATAGTACCCAAGGCGTTGCGTCCCAAATTCTTGCGATGGCCTCACGACGAACCTTTTGCTAGCCGTTGTGGCTTGTAACCTACCATCTGTGCATTGTTGCCCTCTTGATAACCTTACGCTTCAATTTCTCATGTGCCTCAATCACAATACTTTAATAAACATTCGATCCAAATCTTTTTTTTAATCTTTGTTGCATACTTTCAGTTACTTCCTTTTAAGCAGAAAACTTAAACTCTTTGACGAAAAAAGGTATAAGGAACCTCACTGTCCGCTTCCTCAAAAGAACATTGTTTTTAAAGATGTTGTAGATTCCACCCGCTAGACATGATCAACAATTTGATTTCATTGTTTGAACCATGTGTAAATAAGTATAATAATTAGAATATACTCTGATTTGTGAACATGACTTTCCTCACAGATGAATATCTTCTATCAATATTCAAAGATGATTGCCACCCTCATCTCAAAACCCACCTGATTCTGGACAGAAAAGGTATAAAAGGAATCGGTTTGCTGCAACAATTTTGCAAACTTCGAGTTGTTGATCTTCGAAACAATTACCTCTTTTCGATCGGAAACTTGTCGAATCAGACTTCATTGACACACCTGTACCTCCAAGGTAACGAGTTGAGGGTATTGACTGGCTTTCGTACCTTAGTATCTCTCGAGGTACTCTACTTGGACTTTAACAAAATAGATGTCATCGAAAATCTGGGCAGCTGCCCTCTCAAAATTTTGAGTGTCAAGGGACAGATTTTGCAAGTCGGTCAAATGATCGCTTTCGAGCCTTTTACTATTAAGTCTTTACAAAAGCACTTAAAAGTACTAAACGCGTCCAGGAATAGGTTGCTATCTATCAAACAACTCAGCTCTTTGAAACATCTGGAAGAACTAGACGTTTCCTGTAATGAATTGTGCGATCTTAGAGAATTTATTGATAATGTAAGTGAGTTTTCATCCCTGAAAAAGTTAAATGTAGCAAATAATCGTATCGCAAAAGACCCTTCTCTTGTAAAAAATATCGTTACGGTATGCTCAAGACTGGAAAGCATCAACGGTAAAAATATTTCCTTAAATATGCGCTCTTGGTGTGAAAATATGGCGGTTAATAAACAATATGCTGAAGATAAAAGCTTCTGGAAAGAATGTTTTGACGAAAGTGTTTCATGTCTTCCGACATCATACAGGCCTCCTATGAACAAGGATTTCGCAAAGAAAGTTTACAAAAAAATAAAGAATGAAGATTGAACTATCGCTTAATGTTTAACAAAGTCGAGAACAATTTTTTGGTAGTTCACAAACGACAACCGGAATTTAATTAAAAAACAAGTTATTCAGATAATTACTGTTACAATAAATTTAACAATTCGTAAAAGAGTTCTATCCTCAGTTACATTATCAATTTCTTCCGAGTTACTGGTAATTTTTAAGTCGATTACAAAAAGTGCTTGAGAATTTAGCAAATTATTAATTACTTAATATAAATGGTTGGTATTGAGAAGGAATACATGTTACAAGAGAGTGGTTTTAAAACGCTCGTTTAAAGACTGGAATTAGGTTTAGAAACTAAACGTCTTATCTGAGGATTTTTTTAAAAAATAATTGCTTCTATAGAGAAATAATTCAGTATTTCAGTATACATAAGGGAAATAAGTATTAAACTATATGTAAAGCAGTCATACCATATTCAGGAAAGATTGTTATATAGAAACAAACCGAATAAACATTTTTAGTAAAATAAAAATAATATTTTTTTTAAATTATTATTATTTATATTTACAACTGTATAAAAAAAAATCTGGTGCGCGCAACACACAACTTGCACTTACTCTTTGAACTTTGAATAAAAAATATTTTCTGGCCATGTTAGGCTATTATAAAATGTTTTAAATTGCATTTAAAAAAAAAATTAGCATTACCTTATTAACACATTAAAAATTCAAAAACCGAAACAAAGGATATAACCATTGCAGCAGAACGTATTAAAAAAAAACTAGAGACCATACATGTGCTCCTAATTGTCTGATTTCAACGATTTTTTTTTTTTTTTTTAGGAAATTCCATAAACTTTTTAATAACAATTTAAAATATCGACAAAAGGTGTATACTTTTTGAGTTATTCGGAATCTAATTTTACCATCCCTCGTAACATTTTTTTCTAGCTTCTTTTCATTGAAGTATGTTATATAGATAAATTTGAAGGGTGTCGAGAAAATGATTTTAGCGAAGTTTCAACGAAATCGGTACATTCGTTTAGGCGCTAGAGTCTATATCTACGTTTTTCTGCATTTTTATTTTTTTTTTCTCCTTTATTAACTTATCAAATGCTTTCAAAAGTTATATTTAGCATTTTTTCGTAACTCTGAATAATGCGAAATAATTTAAGTGAAAGTAAAAATACATCTAGTAAATTCATACATGGATATAATGACATGAAACACATGTTGAGAAATTAGTAGCACTCTAATAATACGTCTATATTAAGATATCACGGGGCCATCTTCTTTTTAGGCCTCGGAGGGTTATCAGGAATTGAATAGGAAGCACGGTTAGAAACAAGAGGGTTGGGATGGTTATGAAGTTTATTATGGAAGGATAGATATCTGGATTGGGCCAAATCCGATACATAAGGAACATTAAGGTCGTTGTGGATGATTTTATTTGTAACAGAGTAAGGAGCATTGTGGATAAAAATAATAATAATTTTAAAAACATTCAATACTGATTCTGAAGAATCAGTGTTTAGTTCTTGCTATTTTAACATTGACCAAATAATTTCACCCATTGGACATAATGATGCCAGTAACAAAAATATAAAAATTTGATTCAACTTATATTTCGATGTTATTTTTATTTCAAAATTTTCAGTTTTTATAATTTTCACTAATTTATGAATTATTCAATGTTTGTATTACTGCTACTGTTGTACTCTCTTAGTGTCCACTTAGCCCACCTGCCTTATACAATTATCTTCTTTTCTTTTAGTCTTCTTCTTTTCTCCCGTTTCATCACAAAAACCTTTCTGCCAATGTCCACCATCTGGGCCCTTCTTCTTTTCCAACCTTTGACCCTTTTATCCCTTCATATTTGAAATTGTTGTTGATCAGTTTTAGATAGTGTCAATGTTTCACACCCATATGTGATCACCAACTGAACAGTCAACTTCCATAATCTCTTCTTCAGGCCAATTGCTGGTCCACTCTTGAAAAAAGTTCTGTGCTTGAAAATGGCCCAATATCCAACCTTTACTATCCTCAGTACCTCATCTGTTAGTACGTGCGCTAATCATTTGGCCTAAGTATAAATATCTTTCAACAGTTTCTGAAGTTTTCTCCCTATTTTTTACCGATTCTTCTGGATTAATATTGGTACTTGACACCAAGTTAGGGCCTTTCTGTCCATTTCTTCACCATTACATTCTGACAACACACTAATCACCGAATCAAACCTACCAATATCCTCCTATTTACGTTTAATTAGAACACTGATTCTTCTGTGATAGTTTTATGATATCCATTCCGACAACTTTGTATTTTAATTCAATTCGACTCGATGCCATCACCTTGCGTTTGCGTTTCTTACCGAGACGATATTGCAGGTCATTTTTAGATACGTGCAAGAGTCAATTTATATCAAATATTTGTAATGTGTGTTAAATATTTTTATTACGATCGCTCCTATGGAAGAGGTACCCCTCCGCAGCGAGGTGAAGAAAGTAAAGCTTCACGAACCACCCTCATATCCTCAGACACCGGGGACATCGGCGGATCAATACAAATTGCCGGGGTTTTTACTCCCACCAAAAATTGGATCGGGAACCAGTGATTGGTCGAGGATAGGGAGGAGGTGGCTATTTCCATAGCTCGGCAATTTCCCTTTATGGCGGGGAGGGGGAAATCTTTCATTGGCTGGTTTTTGATATTCAGGTTTGATACCTAGGCCTCCGGCGGCTCCATCCCGGCCTCTTTTGCATAATTGACTCTCCCTCTCTCTCGGTGCCCCTAAATCCTGCCCTCCCTCCGCTACATTTGCTTCAAGTGCCTGTCCGCTCATCTTCAGCTTTCGCCAAATATATTCACTCTAATATCGGTAAGGTTTATATATATAAAAAAAGTAACTGCACTTTCAGATAGACACTTTACATAATCCGGTATATAATCCAAAAATGAGTGTAAATCTTCGAATCATTTATTTAAAGACATAATAATTTAATTTAGATATTTTTATAGAGATGTGTTAACAGTTTTTATTTTTAATTTATGTGTATATTGCTGTTTCCGCTTTTCTAAGGCGGGCGGAAGAACTAGAAAGGGCATTTATTATATTGTAATAATTTTATATTTTTATTGATTCCACAAGGGAATCGGTGTATTTAAAAATATACTAATTATATATTTAACAAGAGAAAGAAAATGTTAGGTACCACAGATCACCTTTGATCCTAACATACCAAGTCCTACATGGTACCGGGACAATAACTCGGTATCATTTTATCTTCTTTCCGAGTAGTAAGGCAACGCGCGGTGCTATGCACACGTGTTAAACCGCTCGGCCACCCCGCCCCCGTTTCGTTTCCATCTAAAAATGCATTTGAGTTGTTTCTCCTCTTTTTTTATTCCTTTTCTATTGGTTGAATAATAGTTGTAGAGGAGGACTACCATTGTACTTTTCGAAAGTTTTCTATTAGAATTTTGGGATGCGTCGCCTTTCTTTTGACCTTTCAAAAGACCAGAATTTATCTTTATTACTTTTAATGTGAATTTCTGGCCGAAAACTATATCTGAGCGGTGAGCCCCAACAGATGAGGCAACGTGCCAAAATTCTGCCCTCAGTCCTTAGTCTGCAATTATTAAAAATGATGAGCACTAGACTGACTCTATTTATTCATGGAATATATTTAAATTTTATGAAATAGATTTCAATTTAAAGTGTCCAATATATATATATATATGTGTGTGTGTGTGTGTGTATATATATATGCTACCGATTAGAAAAGAAATTCTATAATTCTATAATTCTAAATCAATCTTGTGTATCACAGCGAGACGGTATCTAGGCTTGCTTATCAATACCAGATACATAATTAGTATATTTTTGAATAGATCGATTCTCTTCTGGTACCGATAAAAATTTATATATATATATTTGTCCTTTTCCATAGTAATCCTAACAGGAGGGTTTTTTTACATAAAAAAAATATCTCTAAATCAATAGATTTTAATGGGAAAAGCATTCGAGATGTATAAAATAACAAATCTGTATTTTTATAATAATATTCTACATTAGTCTGTTTAAACAAAATAAATAATGTAGTAATACATTTCTTTATATATTTGTTACTTTGATAAAAAAAGAAATCTCATATATTTTTTCCTTTATTAAAAACTTTTATTTTGTTCCGTATTTATTATATTCTTATTATATATATATATATATATATATATATATATATTCAAACTTCACTATTTTATTGGGAATATATATATATATATATATATATATATATTTCTATCGGTTGCAGAAGGGAAATTATCTATTTAAAAATATACTAATTATCTATCTATAATTGATAAGCGGTGCCTTTCTGGACGTAGCGCAAGCTTTCGACCGGGTATGGCACGATGGCTTGCTTTTCAAGCTCAAAACCCATTTACCCCAATCCTTATACCTAGTCCTCAAATCCTACCTCTGAAATCGTTCCTTTCAAGTCCGTTGTGACACCGAATTCTCCACTTACTATCCAGTTGAGGCTGGTGTTCCACAAGGCAGTGTCTTGGGCCCAGTTCTCTACATCCTCTTCACTTCCGATATCCCTTCAAATCCCGATACATTTCTAGCTACATTTGCTGATGATACTGCCATTCTATCCTCCCACTCAGATCCTCAAATAGCATCTCAAAACCTTTAATCTCACCTCTCCTTGATTGAGCAGTGGTGCAAAAACTGGCGCATCAAAATCAATGAATCAAAATGCAAACATATCACTTTCACCCTGCGACGCAGATCCTGTCCGCCAATCGTTTTTAATTCAATTCTACTTCCCTACTCAGACACAGTACGTTACCTTGGCTTCCTTCTAGACAAAAGACTAACTTGGAACCCACATACCAGACTTCAAAGACAAGAACTTAACCGACGATATGGCCACCTGTATAGATTACTAAGTAGGACATCTCATCTTTCGATTGAAAATAAACTTTTAATCTACTAGACCATACTGAAACCTATCTGGACCTACGGACTTGAAC